CATACATACATGCATGCATACTCACACATACACACATACCCACATCCGCACATATACACAAACAGCTAACTAGCTACCTACCCACCCAACCACCCCACTACCTACCTACCTGTCTACAGAGTCTACATACATGCACACATACTCACACACACACACAGACATACAGACATACAGCCATACAGACATACATACGTACATACATACATACATACATACATACATACACACATACATCCATGCAGACAGACAGACAGACAGACATACCGACAGACGGACGGACAGACAGTCAGTCAGTCAGTCATGCGTCATGCAGTCATGCAGTCATGCAGTCATGCAGACAGACAGACAGACAGACAGACAGACAGACAGACAAAAGATCCTCATACTTGATTCCAACCTTTACTGACGAGATTGATAGGATGAGTGATTCTGGCTGGCTAACTGGCCGGTTGGCTGGCTGGCTGTCGGCTGGCTGGCTGCTTCACTGACTGACTGACGTGATTGCTGCTGTTTGGTCACGAGTCATTGCTTTTGTTCCTCTGCAGATCATAGATTAAAGCCTTGACCCAGAAGGCAGGACCAAAAAAGAAAGATCGATCCTCATCATCAGAATATGGGAGTGGTAGTAGCGGCTTGGTCACAATCGGACTGGTGCCACAACACAGAGGAGGGATACGACATAACATACAGGGCTCATAACACTAACGATGACAACAGCAGTACCTATGCTGATCATAACAGCAGCAATAACAAAACCAGTAAGCAGAACATGACTGTTCTTACTACAACACGTAGCCACAAGAGCTGAACCAACAGATGTCGCTTGAGGCAGGCACCAGGAAGATCGGGGCAGCGCCAAACCATTCCATGAAGCGGCGCGGCAGGGCATAATAGAAACAAGGAGATGCTGGTGTACTATCATACTGGAGACTAGTGATACCGAGGGATATTAACCGGAATAGTATAGTCTAATAGGAGCAGGAAGAGGCGCGGCTGCGATGAGGGTTTCTGGAGAACTTGAGGCGATAGAGGGTCAGAAGATGTTGGCCATGAAGGCAATGGAACAATCAGTCCATGCTTAATGCTGCTGAATCTGGGCTCTTGCAAGTCTTGTTTTCACAGGTTTGGGCTTGATCTGCAGCTGAAATCTGCCAGGTTTCAAGCTTTACACGTTTCAGAAAGAGACACTTGGAAAATTTGATCCACAATCAAAGGGTTGGATGATGACAAGAACTTCCCAAACTCGGGATTGCGATCTTCCGGACCGGTAGTGGGCGCACTGAAGCTGGGGCAGGCCCGCGATGGTGGAGTGGAAGCCGATGGACTGGCAAACTTCACCAGCGTCGTAACAGGCCCAGAGAGTTTGCAGATTCTGTCTGTGTCCTTGAATAACGGGACCCCATGAGCCTGGAGACAGGGGATCTCTGTACCACCAGGCTTCCAGCAGTGAACGGTCCAAGCAAGCCCAAGCGAAAGCCACGAATGAAGCCTCATAAAACTTCTCCACCGACGCCGCCAGCATGGGCTGGTCCACCTGCAGCACGGCATGATCCAGGACACTACAGCTCGACATTCATGGTTGGGGCTAAGGGTAGGGCGAACGGTTAGAGCACCCCCGACTGCAGCAAAGAAGACACTTTTTGACTTTTGAGAGATCTCTATTTCGCTTGCCTGCGAGCGCTTACATTGACCTAAAGCTTGCAAACGGACTTGACCCCTTAGCCAGCTGAACCCTCTTCGCGCGCAGAGCCCGAGCCCCTGAAGCGTCAATAGCAACCACCACCACCGTCGCCCACACCGGCAACAACAACAAGTAACAGTAGGTCGCAGCAGGAAATGGGGTACCCAAAACGACAGTACTGGTGGCATTGCGAGCAAACATAGGCACTGGAATATCAGTGATGCCCGTCATAGCAAGTGCAGGAACTTCAATATCAATGGGAACATCATGAAGATCATCATGATCATCAGCATGGTCATCATTATCATAATCACATTGACAGCACTGCTAACAGCACTTGCAGCTACACTAGCTCCAGCTGCAGCAGCTGCTGCTGCATCCCAGTTTGTGTCTTCATCATCGTTGTCGTGGTCACTACGACCAGCCTGCTCACCATGACAACCATAATTTTCGTTATTGTTATAAGCCTCCTCTTCTCCTTCACTGTAAACCGTGTTGCCTCGAAAATTGCGCGCTCGCCGGGCTTCATTGTCCGTGCCGCGAGATCGAATCCCTGGTCTGGCTTCAGGTTATGAGGCTTGACCTTTGTGTTGAAGTTTCGGTCGGCGCAGCAGCACTAGGCTAAATGCACTTGGTTGCTTGGGGGCTTGTCAAGAAATGCCGCTCTGAAGGCACCCTAGTCTTGAGCATCGCTCGGGTTAGTACCAGTGCCAACGTTCCAAAACTTCATGCCAAACCGGCTGTGAACCCTGAAGTCATGAAGAAGTCTTTCAGTAGCGAGAGCTTGTCAAAAGGCTTCTACGTCCCGGCCACGTTCATTTGCCCCATAGCCTGGAAACGAAAACGGCTTCGGATCAACAGCTACAGCCTTGCATCTTGCACTTGTCATCTTACTCTACCATGCGAAACTTGCCTTGTACATGCCAGGATCTCCCAGGTACCATCTCACCGGGCGCTTCTTGACCTCCATCATCGGCAGCCCAAACATGAAGAGACAAGTTCAAACTTTAGGATGTTTGCTGGTTGAGGGTTTGATGAGTTTGGGGAGTTCGAAGCAGCACAGGCTGACCAACAAGACCTAAATCCGCAATGTTGGGTCACGAGCTGCAACGACTCAACTGTACTGACTGATAGTCACAACAATCCAAACGCCTGCCCCCGGGCCTTTCTGTAGAAGTCGCCTACAAGGCGAGGTGCCTTTCCGGCTTCCTGGCGATTTGGCGTTCTGCCTGATCTCCCGACACCTAGCGCTGGCATTTCGTGCCGCTAGACAAGTGCGAGCTGAGGACGCGCCCTCATGTATCTCGGATTTCTAACCCTAAACCCTAAACCCTAAACCCTAAACCCTAAACCCTAAACCCTAAACCGACCTCCGAAAGTCCAACTCCGAACGACCCCCTCGCAGCGTCTCCTGGTCAAGGAAGTTGACCATGTCCATGTACTCCTCTGCTCCATGGGATTTATGCTGCTTGGGCGGGGTGGCGGGCTCAAGAGCAGGCCGGGCATGGTCCACGGTTTAGGGTTTAGGGCTTTTGGGCTTTTGGGCTTTAGGGTTTTAGGGCTTTAGGGTTTTAGGGTTTTATGGTTTAGGGGACCGAATACTCTCGGGAAGTGGGCGAGCAAGGGCTTAGGACAGATCGACACACGGCCTGTGACTGTGCTTGATTCAACATGGCAGGGCAAATTATGCTTCTGGCTGATACATCTGTATATCTATCTGAATATTATATATATATATATATATGTATAGATAGATAGATAGATAGATAGATAGATAGATAGATAGATAAACGCGTTCTGTGTATATTAAATATATATATATATACATATACATATACATATTCATATACATATACATATACATTTGTGTGTGTGTGAGGTTGTCTGTAAATCCAAGCTGCATGGTATACGAGTCTATTGTTCCTGCTACATGGTGCTTTCGATTAGACAGGATGTTACGGCGGGTTCTTTTCTGCAATGTCTGTTCGACTTAACTTCCCGCTTAGACAAGGCTTCGATGAACATGACACTGCAAAAGGCTTAAATTTGCTTCGGCTTGACATGGCTTACTTGGTTTGGCCCTGGCTCGTACCTACGAAAGCCTAGCCTTAATGGCACTCAGCAAACACCAACAGCTTTGGACTCTCAAAACAAGGTGTAGTGATGTCTAGGCATGTAAACATAAACATACACAGATCGAAGCATACTCTTCACGGATGGATGGATGGATGGATGGATGGATGGATGATGATGGGTGGATGGAGGGATGGATGGCCGCCCGATGCGTGATCTCGCCGCGCCCGCGTCCTTGAGCTCGTCCCGTGCCTGCTTTGTCTCCGGGAAGGGCCTCACGGGTCTGCCCGTGCCCGCAAATGATTTCGGTATGTGTTTTAATCGGGGTTTCCCAAGACTCCAGGTTTGCTCACAGCCACAATAGCCACGATTGCCGTGAAGGCAGAACAACTGTACACTGAGAATAGTCTACAGTATATAATATTAC